GAACAGTTCCCAAACTAATCACTGAATAGTAGTAGCATCTCCTGGTTTGGAAAGTTGCCCATGTCACTACCCCTCTTTAAGAAGGGTGACAGAGGGGAAACCATGGAATTTCATGACCAGTTAGCCTAACGGCTCTGGTGGGAAATTGTCAGGGTCTCTAATCTAGGATGGGGGTGACTTAACCCTTCAATTTCAGTTAATTGGAGATGGATTCATGAAGGGTATGTCATGCCTGATAAAGCTCAGTTTTTTTTTGAAGAGGTGACAAAGGTGGTAGTAAGAGCAAGATGTTTTATTTGGACTTGCAGAAGGCTTTTATTAAAATTCCACACAAGACTAATGTGGAATTTAGGGCAAGGTAGTGAAAGCAATAGGAAATGGGTTGTGTGGCAGGAGACCTTTGGAATAATGGGTTAGTACTCAAATTTACAGGTCGTGACTAGTGGTGCCCTGTGCTGGGCCTCAATTATTCACAATATTCTTATGGCTTGGACAATGGTATAAAAAAATTAAATATTCAAGTTTGCTAATGACCCAAATTTGGGTAGCATTGTAGACCGTGTTGACAACAGCATAAAATTACAACAAACATTGATATGTTAGGTGAATAGGCAAAGCTGCGGTGGATTGATTTTAATTTACACAAGTGTGGACTGAAGGATCGATCAGGATATGCTTTTTAGAAGGTACAAATTAAATACAGTGGATGTGCAATACGTTTTGGGGGGGCTTCAGGTGCACAGCCCTTTAAAATTTCACAAATAAGTGCAGAAAATAGTCAAGAAAGCTAATGGAATGCTGGCCTTCAGATCTAAAGGGCTGAAGCATTGGGATGCAGGCATTGTATTGCAGTTAAACAAAACCCCAGTAAGACTCCACTTAAAGTACTGTGAGCAGATTAGGTCATCATATCTTAGGAGTGATGTTTTGGCCTTGGAGGGTGTTCAATGCACATTTGTAAAGATGCTACCTGGACTTCATGGGTTAAGTTATGAGGAGTGATTAGACAAATTAGGCATTTATTCTGTAGAATTTAGAAGGTTAAGGATGATCTAATCTTTCTTCAGGGAAAGACAAGGTAAATCAGCTGTTTCCACTGTTGAAGATTCTAGCATCAAGGCATAGTCTGAGAATTAGGGCCAGTCCATTTATAACAATGTTAAAAGCACTTCTACATGCAAAGAGTGGTGGATGTTTGGAACTCCTCTTCACATGGCAGTCAATGCTAATTCAATTGGTAGACTTAAATCTGAGACCATTTTTTTACTTTAAGTGAAGGTACCAAGGGATATGTGCCCAAGGCAGCATATGGTGTTAGGCCATACAGCAGCCATGATGCTATTGAATGGTGGAGCAAGCTTGAGGGGCTGAATGGCCTAATCCTGTTCCTATGTTCCTAAAACATACTTACACCTGCGTTATAATCAAACTTCTCATCCTACAGATAAGAAATGTCTTCACTCTAAGGATTGTGAATCTTTGACATTCTCTACCTCCAGAGTTTGTAATTGCTCCATCACTTAATATATTTCCAGTCTGGAAAAGACAAATCCTTCACATTTGGGAACTAATGGATAGGAAGAGGAATATAGTTCAAGTTCAAGGTCAGATAAATTGCATGACGTTGTAGAGCAATCTAAATGTGGGCCACAAGGGCAGGTTTTTATATCCTATCTCCACAGATGCTGCCATGCTTTGTGTATTCTGAAATTTGATTTTTAAGTTCTAAGTCTTTTCCACGGATGTTATGCATTAGTTGTGGTTATTCCTTTTGGAATTGCTTCATAGCTTTGCAATTTAGGAAACTATGGTATTTCACTCTTGAGTAAATTGTTCCAGTTGAGAGGCAACCATTCTGGTTTGAAACCTTCTTTCACTTTAGTGATTTATATTTGTCTTTATCTACAATCAAATTTATTTCATGAAAGTTTATGATCAAAACCAAATCGATTCATGAAACAGGAGTACAGAATTTCACAATAACTTGGACAAATTACAGTAAATGAATTTTTCAGTTCTACTGACTGATTTTACTTGTAGCTTAATCAATCAATTATAGGAGATGAGACTGAATTTCTGGAAAAAGGCTGTTCTGCTTAATGTATTTGTTTTTGGCTTTTAATGGTGACCCAAAAATAATTGTAAGGCAGGCTTCTAATTTACACAGTGCAGAAATTCACCAGGGCTCCTTGGACAGCACTTTCCCAATCTGTTTTAAAAAAAAAAACCCAGAAAGAATTGCAGATGCTGTAAATCAGGGATAAAAACGTGAGTTCCTAGCAAAGCTCAGCAGGTCCAGCCACATCTGGGGAAAAAAAAATCAGAGTTAACATTTCGGGTCCAGTGATCCTTGCTCAGAAGTTCGTCAGTTCTGAGGAAGGGTCACCGGACCTGAAACGTTAACTCTGACTTTTTCTTCGCAGATGCTGCCAGACGTACTGAGCTTTTCCAGCAACTTCTGTGTTTGCGCCTTCTCAATCCATGACTGCCACCACCTAGAAAGACACAAGCAGCTGATACATGGAAACACAGTCCCTTCACCTGCCCTCCCCTCTCCCCCAACCCAGCAAGTTCACCTCCAAGCCACTCACCATCCTGACTTGGAAATGTGTCACTGGGTAAAGACCTGGAACTCCCTCCCTCATGGTGTTGTGGGACTGACCTAAGCAGCTCAAGAAGACAACTCACCACCCACTTAAGGGCAACTCCAGGCTGGCAATAAATGCCACCCCAGCCAGCAGCTCCCACAAAAGTGACCTAGAGCTGAATTTACCCAAAGATGGGCTTAGTCAATTTCAGTGCTGTCATGCTCTCGGTTTTAATCTCTGCACTTTACCTATTCGAACCCCAAGCCTTGAGTTTAGTTTTGCCAACTAGCGTAACGCTCTGTCTATTCCTTTCCCCACCTCTCCCCATTTTGAAGCCATGGGGATGGTCACCATTGCCCCTTGCCTCTTCCACACTAACCTGTCTTCCAATGCAACATCATCTCCCATCCCTCAGCAACCCCCCAGCCCCATATATTGAGTTGTCCTGCCTACCTCCCAGTCTGCTACCTCCAGTCCCGACAAAAGACGTACCCACCACGGCATTGACCTGATGACCTTGACTTTCACTGAGCAGAACCCCACCCTCTTTCCCCCTACACTTGACTGGGTGTGGCCCACATCACTCCTTTGGAAGGTTAGCCCTGACTGGTCTCTGGTTGGTTCCCTGACTCTTCTGACTACTTGTTTGCACTAGACCTGCAAGACTGACCATTGCCCTCTCCTTGGATGTAGCAATATGGAACCCCTAACTGCCCCAAGCCCCTGCACAGACAAGGTGATGCCCTTTACTAACTGACAGAACCCTCCTACACTGCTAGGCCTCCTTGTCTTTACTGAGGATGACTCCCTTTGACTGAGACATGACCAGTTGGTTTATACACATTGGGTGTGTAAGCTGCTGGAACATGCTGTAAGTGTGCCATTGGCATAATACCGTGCCATATAGCAACATGTCAACACCTGCTTCCACCTTCACATCCCTCCCCCCTCCCAAATGTGACAAGCTGCCTGGCCTTGTGTGCACTAAAAGGCAAGTTAAGGTGGAAGTCATGTGAACCTTTAAGCTCTGGAAGAGGTAGCAGAGCACAGAAGGGAAAAGACTAGGTTGAGATGCTGTGAGCATCCACGTAGGTACGGAGTGAGGAACTGCGATGCCCCTGCCCTGTTCTGATTGCTTGTGCCAGCTTGCTACAAGGTGCAGTATTGAAATAGCAACCTATATTCTACGTGAGTTGGAGATATGCCATGATGCGGCGACCCTGGGTCATGTCTGATGCCACCTTCTGTGGACAGAGGGATGTATAAGCATACACTGCTCATGGAGTATGCCAGAGATTATTGACAGTTCCAAAATGGAGGCCTGGAGGAACCAGAGGCAGCTGCTGACTTTTGTGTTGAACCTTTACACTTGAGCTGCCCTCCTCCACATGGGTGAGGCACACATGAATTATTGCGATGTGAACAAATGCAAACAGGCCTCTTGCTCATAGATTCTCATCTGACTGTTAAAACCTTGGGAAAATTGGACTCTTTATCTTGCAGTTGCATCCTTTTTCCAATCTTGCCTCACCATTACCCACCTTATTCAGGAGCTGGGAAAGTTTCAGTCTCTAAGCCCCTATCTTCACACAGGGTACCAGTAGGTGATCCTGACTCCTTCCCTTCCACTGATTTTCTATTTTTCTCTCTGACTGGGAAGGTGTCCACAGTCAGGCGAAGATAGAGCCTGACTTGCTGATATTACACACAATTGAATTGACTTCCGGAACTGTCTAAGTTAAGTCCGTGAATGCCATAGGAGTAGATGATTGAACATTGACCTGAAACATTAAACTCTTTTCTCTCTCCACAGATGGAGACTTGACCTACTGAGTATTTGCAGCATTTCCTGTTTCATTTATTTCAAATGTCCAGTTTTTGCTTTTTATCAATGCTTGAGGGAAATCAGCTGGAGCTAGTAATCTGATTTTAGGCATCTATGGATAAAATTAAGACACCAGTGAAGGAGACATTGGACAAATCTGTAGGTGATTCGGGATCATTGTCCTGCCTCAGGAGAGAACACTGACTGAAGGGAATATCATGGTCACATACCCCAGGCAAGTCAGAAATGGATATTCTTGGAATTTTGAAAACAAAACAATTAAAAGGCTCTAGAAATCTGCAAGAACTGAACTGAGATGTTCATATACTGATCTTCAGTACACATTCCAAAATGACCTGATTCCTCATTCCTGATTTTTCTTAATATGCTGTTAAGGACAGCAATTTGCAGTCATGTAGCAGTTAATGCTAAAATTATTCCCAGAATGGTTCCTTGGGAGAAGGTGTGATAAGAAGAAAAGTTAAGGGAATGAAAAATCATGACTTTGTTTGTTTTCTCAAGAATAGTTCTTTAATTGGTCCTCCTAGTTAATGAAGACTACTTTATCTTGTATGTTTGTTTTTTAGGTCTTAATCTCTGGGTTCTGGCAATTGGAAAATATCCAAAAGAACATACTGTAGGCATTCCAGATGTGAAGTACATTGCGAACATTCATGGTGATGAGGTAACTTTCTTTCCTTTATATATCTATACAGTCTAGTAAATTTCTGTCAAAGCATTGCTGTGTAAAGGGTGAGTATTAACCCTTTATTTCCTCAGACCAAATGCGACTTGGGTTTTTCTTGTTTTAAATGTTTGCTCATGAAAACAAAGTGTACATATCCAAAGATGGAGTAAAATAATTTTACAGATGACAAGCTCCCAATCAACTACTTTACAAATAATTTCCAAACAAAAAGTTGTACCTTTTATTCATTCTTTTAACTGTGTTTGCACAGTTCAGATTCCAAGTTAGTACAGGTGACTATATTATCCAATCATATCATTACATGTTCACAGCTCATACTTGTTATAGAAAACCTTCCACTGCTTCTTTCTCCCTTGATCAGTCCATCCTGTTGCCTATTCAGGGTGCTGTCTAGTTTCCCTTTCTTGTTGGACTTCAGTATATGCTTGAAAGCAATTTAAGATTTTCCAAACCACTGAATTTTTTCTGAAGAAGGGTCCTGACCCGAAACGTCAACTTACCTGCTCCTCTGATGCTGCCTGGCCTGCTGTGCTCCTCCAGCAGGACATATGTGGACGAGTACAAATGCAATGTGTGTTTTGTTTCTTTCTTGTTTGTTTGTGACTAACTGCAAAATCTAACCCACTGCAAACTTCAACCGGAACAATGTTAGCTGACTTGTGAAAGTAATTTTTCCCTTCTCTATGAAATAAAGCTGTACAAATTGTAACCACATTTCAAGAGCCTATTTCCTCATTCAAACATTTTCCCTTGATGGCAGCTGTCTTCTTTGTAGATTGTAAGCAATCCAAGCATCTTGCCATTAACAGCATACTTACTGCCAACATCTATCTCAAATGTCACTGCTCCCCTCATCCTTCAAATGTTTGGGTTTTTTAGCAACTCAAACTGATTTGCTGTTCTCGATTCACTCGTTCAATCGATAAGCAATGGGTTGTCAGAAAATGGATAACCCAATGTCTCAGGACATGCTGTTTCTGGTTCTGAACTCCCAGACAGGGTCCCAGTTTAAGAATACAGGCTAAGCCTCTCAGGATACATGGAGAGATGTCTTCACCTGAAGAGTGGTGAGCCTGTGGAATCCTCTGCCACAAAAAACAATTGAGGCCAAACGTCGAACATTTTCAAAATAAAAACCGAAAGAACTACGGGTGCTGTAGATCAGGAACAAAAACAGAAGTTGCTGGAAAAGCTCAGCAGATCTGGCAGCAGCTGTGAAGGGGAAAAACAGGGTTAACAGTTTGGGTCCGGTGACCCTTCCTTAGAACTGGCCAGTTCTGAGGAAGGGTCACCAGACCTGAAACGTTAACTGTTTTTTCCCTTCACAGATGCTGCCAGACCTTCATTGAACATTTTCAAGCAGTTAGTTATAGTTCTCGAGGTTAAAGGGATCAAAGAATATGGGGGAGAAAGCAGGAATAGGGGACTGAGTTGGATAATCAGCCATGATCATAATCGTCAGGAAAGCTGACGTTTCGGGCCTAGACCCTTCTTCAGAAATGCTCTGTTTTACATATATCTGGATTCTAGGGTTATAATGGATTGTTTGGAAATGTGCTTATATCATTTCAAGTGAAAAATATATTTTTCAGTCAACATTTCTTCCAGTTTTTTTAAAGCAATGGGCATGTGCCAAGCAAAATAAAAAAAAAAACTAATCCCTGACAAAGCATAGAGCTGAATGAACACAGCAGGCCAAGCAGCATCAGAGGAGC